TGTACACTTCAGAAACACTGTACTTGTAGGCTACACTAAATTTATAAAAACTAAAGAAATAAAGTAATTGTGCTACGACATTATGACTATTAGGTCGTATGAGAACCCTTTCGGCCGCGCCCCATCATGGCACTGGCTACCCTTCGCTTCCGCTTTCTCCTTCCCGCTGGCGCAACAATTCCTTCCCGCTGGTGCGAATCACACACCAATCAGAACAGGCTCCCTACTCCTGGCCCCTTAGCAACGCAATCCATCCAATCCCCGAACGCCCTGTGTCCTCAGCAAACCTATCAGCTCTTTTCTAACCCTATAAAAGCAGATGTGCCCGCTGAATAAAAAAACCTTCTCCGGCGAGCTGCCTTGCATTTGTGTCTCATCCTTTAACTGGTGCTGAATTTTATTCCTTTCAATGACCAGCTATGATGTCACTAGGCGATAGGATTTTTTCAGCTTTGTTATAATCTTATGGGACCACCATCATATATGCACTGTGTCATTAACCTGAAAGTTCTTATGCAGCACATGACTGTACTTGGACAGAGAGAGTTTTGAAAATATCTCCCAGTTAGCCTTGGAGTACATGGGTAGTAATGTGTGGAAGGAGAGGAGAGTCATTATTTATGTTAGTTTAGAATGTCAGTTTCAAAATATCCTTAGAGATGATCTGGCCCAATTGGTTAACTCAATTTCTTAAAATGTGGTACTGTTCAAATTAAAACCAGTTCCTCATTGGACACTCAGCTTTCAAGAGAAGACTCCTCTGTGGCACCACTTTCTGTCACCTGTACCAATTTTTTAGAGTTTATGTTGACTGTAGGGAGTTTGGAGAAGAATTTGATTGTCTAATGTCAACTCATCACTGCTCTTGGGAAAGCAACTTCTTCGGCAGTCGTAAATCAGCAAAGAGTAGTGTAAATCTTTAAAATGTTCGATTCAACAGGCATTTGTTGAGTACCTATTATTTAGCTCAATGTTAGTGCTAGGAGTTATAGATATGAATAATGACGTGGTTGCTGACCTCAAGGATCTCAGTCTAGTAGAGGGACCAAGAGGTAAATGAATTATCTGCCAACCTGTGAAATGCAACAAGAGAAGTGTGGAAGAGGAACAAGGGAGATGTTCCGAATGAGCTAACATCTGGGCTGGATTTTGAAAGAGGAATAAGTTTCCAATGATTTCTACTAAATTAATATGCATAGTTTAAAGAATGAATATTCATCCTCACAATTTATTGTCACCTAAGAAATTTGATGACTTTCTGAAGGTGAATATCCTGTTAATACCTTCTGAAAATTGGCCTTTTATTACATAGATCTTAGGCATTATCTGATTATTGAACAATCAAGAGGAAGAATGAGTTGAAGGGTTTAGGATGCTTAGATCTCGCAAAGTTGACACAGTGGCTGTGATCACAGAGAAGGACTCTCAATGAAGAAGTGTTTCTGGCAGATGGTGATGCCTACTAAACATGATTCTACTAGTTTAAAAATAATTGCTGTATGTCTAATGAACTTTCCCTACTGGCTAAAATGTTTCTTAGTTTTAACTTCTGTTTCTTTTTTAGAACTAACTTAGAAACTTATGATAATGATTCTGATTATAAGATACCTGAATAAATAAATAAACAACTTCTCCCAATTTGACTTTCTTCAGATTGTAACTGTAAGTTTGTATTCAATTTGCTGCTGATTTTCTGGCATGTTTATTATGTATCAAGATTTTCTGTTTGCTTCTAGTTAAGAACTCAGGGCGGCTTTACAGACTTTATTCATTGTTACTGATGAAAATATTGCATTTTAAAATAATTGAGATATAAGTCGGTAAGCAGTTTCTTATAAAACCAGACATCTATAGAATATTAATACGTAGCAGATCATTTCCTTTATGGAGTGGAAAAAAATCCAAGACCTTCAACTATAAGATGTGCTCACTAACAGCTGTTTTCTATAATAGGAACAATTTGCATGCAGAATAGAGAAAATGAATTATACAAAAGGGTGTATAGAGGAACAGCTATAACTCCTCTGGCATGTGCAGCAGCCCACAGAATAAACTTCCTTCAAATGACATTGGCATGATTAATCCCAAGCAACCTGGATACTGAAACTACTATTCTGAAAAGGGACTCTGCAGCCTGGAAGTTTCATGCGCATAATACTAGCTTCTAGGTTGGGTGGGGTGGGGGCTGCTCAGTGCATTTCCTGGCATCTCCCCCAACCCTTCCCATGCTCAGGGTATTTGAGTATTTAAGGCAGGTTGGTAGGTGGTCAGTGGATACAAAATTAAAGCCGTTCTTTTGCTTTTCCATTTTATTTTTTAGAAAAAGTTATAAGGAGGTCAAGTGAGATGCCTCATTCCTGATTTACTTCTTCTGATTTCAGTTTGCGGTAATTTTCCTAAGATGGCTAAAGTGAGACTGTCCAGCATTAAAATCCTGTCTTCAGTATACCTCTTTGTAACCATATTTGAACTTGTGGGACATCTAGCCAGTTTTCATGTCCATTATCAATGTCATTTAATGTAATAAAAATGCCTCATGCTTGCATTCCCCCACATGTAGTCTCCTGGCATGAGGAGATGATGTTTCCACTCTTTAAAGGGTAAGGAAATGGAGGTCCTCTAGAGAATCCTCAGTCCAGGGCTGTGGACCTGAGTCTTCTGATCCAAATGTGGAGCTTTCTACTTACCGCCTCCTTTTTATTTTCATCCAAAAAGGATACATGGTGATCGGATATTTTATGGTTAGATTTCCTGCCTCACTTGGGTTGTTTATTGAGACCTTATGTGTGCCAGGCCCTGTGATGTATCTTTTACGTACATACATCACTGTCTTGGTCTGTTCAGGCTGCTATAACAAAGTACCAGAGAGTGGGTGGCTTATAGACAACAGAAATTTATTTCTCATTGTTCTGGAGGCTGGAAAGTCCAAGATCAGGGTGCCAGCATGATTGGGTTCTGGTGATGGCCCTCTTTGGGGTTGCAGAATATGGTCTTCTCACCATGTTCTCACATGGTGGAAGTAGTGAGAGAGCTCTCTGGGGCCTCTTTTATAAGGGTATTAATCCCATTCATGAAGTTTCCATCCCCATGACCTATTCACCTCCCAAATGCCCCACCTCCTAATACCATCACAACTAGGGGTTAGGATATTTCAACATATGGACACAAACATTCAGTCCATAGCAGTCACCCTGTTTAATCTTCCCACTGACTGAAGGAGAAACCCAAGGTTCAGAGAGGTGAAATAACTTTGCAAAGGTAGCCTGCCTAGTCTGACGTGGACCATGGATTGGCATCCAGGTGTGCTGGTTGCTGTAGCTAGAGCCCTGGACTCTCTCTGTCTTCCTGAGGTAAATGTTCTTTCTGTCCTTGAGTGAAAGGAAGCTAGCAGATGAGATTCTTGAATATATGGTCCTAAGGAACTCTGTTGAGTGTCGAAGCAGAGATTCAGGCAGTTAATGCTTTGGGAGAGTAAAAGAAGAGATGATAGTACTTTGTGGTCTAGAAAGGCCTTGTGAAAAAATTGGGATTTGAATTAGCAGTGGATACTAAGAGTAGCCTCAAGGTATGATGGAAGTAGTAGCAGGAGGACCAGGTACAGGTGGAAAATGCTGGGCACGTTTGGGGGGAATTGATGCATTTGAATGAAGCTCAGAGGTTTTGGTAGGTGACAAAGGAAGGCAGGCTGGAAAGGTAAGGTGGAGCTGCCGAAGGGGACTTGGTGTACCAGAGTATGTGACATTGACATTCAGCATATGCTTTTTTACTTTGTGGGTACTACCAAAATGCAGTCTTAACCAGAATAAGTTGGTTTGTGATTGATTTTGGTTTAATGGAAATTTTGGTGTAATGAAATCCTGTTCAGCTTCTTGGGATCTCTCATTCCCCAAGAACTTGCCTAATAGTCTTGTTTGTTTCTTATATATTCTTATGATATGATTAGATTTTAAGTGTTTGCATGTATAACAACATTTCAATCAGCAATCTTTTTGGGGGGAGATGGTATGTGTGTGTGGTGAGTCTTAATGTTCAAGGTTTGGGATTTTCTAAGGAAAGAAAGTGGCATAGAAATTAGGACATCTCAGATGAGTGAGGGGTCCTAATTGTGATAGGACCCCTAATTGTGTCAAAGACTAGATATAAATAATACTTTTTTAGGAAATTTATAGTTCTTTTCTAGCTTTGGGTCATAAGGAGCTATCCTCTGTTTCCCTAAAGTTTTATGGCAGGGTGATAACAACTGAAGTCCATTCATTAATGATCATGATCCACTGTGATGAACTATCTTCCATGAAGATTTGAATAAATAATTTACATATTTGCTTTACCTAGGAAAAATTATTGGTAATGATTCTGGTGAAGAAATATAAGGATAAATCAAAAACACATCTAGGGATGGCAAGGGACTAGATAGTATCTAGATAGTAAAATGGGATTTTTTTTTCTTTTAAAAAAGAAAGGAAGAATTTTTTTTTTGTCTGTTATTCTCATCTTACTTGTTTTCTTTTTTAATGTTGCAGTGTGCAAAGATCCACCTTACAAAGTAGAAGAATCTGGGTATGCTGGTTTCATTTTGCCAATTGAGGTTTATTTTAAAAACAAGGTATGTAAACTTTACCCATTAATCTTTCAGTAAAAGATTCTTCATTAATCAATTGATATTTAAAATAACTTTGACTCATAGGCCCTTCTATCACTAGATGATTTTAAAATAAAAATTAAATTTGTCTTCGAGGAAGTGGCTAGAAAAAGATAATTTCAACTATATATATGAAACCTATTAAATGTTCCTTTTAATAGAAGAGTGATTGCCATTTTAAAAGCGATTAATATGTATTTGTAAAATAGAAAAGAGAAATTATGGTTTTTCAGTGAAATGCTCCTTTTCTCACTTTCACGTTTCTAGAATTTTTGAGGCTTGCAAAGAATAATCTCATTTTATCGTTAGCTGATACACACATGACACATATATATGGTTATTTCAACTTGAGATGTTATGGATTCTGTTGGATTTAAAAGTTTTCAACAGTACCTGTGTGGCAGAGCATACAGGCTATCTAACGTTGGACAAATTGCTCAACCTCTGTGGGACTTACTTTCCTTATTTACAAAATGTGGAGGCAAGAGTACCTACCTCATGAGGTAGTTAGAAGGATTCAATAAAATAATAATAATAAAATAAATCTGTGTGAAGTATTTAGAACAGTGCCTCATATATAAATAAGCACTATGTGAATGCTACGTATTATTTGCAGTCACGCTGTTCCTTCATTTTCCTCCAAAGGTATCATAATTTCTAAAACTTGCCCAAAAGTGAGACAATTCACTTTTTTAAAAAAGGAACTGAGCAAATAGAATGTCATGTTATCCAAGCCAGTGCTCCATGGAATATGGTCCTTGGGACAACATCATCACCTAAGAGCAGCTTAGAAATGAGATTCTCAGACCCCACCCAGATTGACTGAGTCAGACTCTCTGGGGACGGGTCTAGGAATCTGCATATTTACTACTCTTTCAGGTGATTCCGATGCTCAATAAAGTATGAGAACCACTGATAAACCACCATTTTATGTGCAGTGCTTTCCTTGGAACAGTGTCCCACTGGCTTAGCCTATAGAAGGCTCAGCCTTCAATTCAACAAAGATCTCCTTATGATTAAGAGATAATTCATTTTTAATTAAGCTATAGTAAAACTATCCTGTAAAGTGAAATGTATGGATGATAGGATAGATTCTATGTTTCATATTTATGTTCCTTTCTGAGCCTATCTCCTCATTCCTGCTGTATATCTCCCACAAAAACCTGCTACCCCATTAATTGGCGTTTTCTCATATTTATATTTTTGAGGTATATTTGACAGTAACTTAATTTCTGCATAGTTTACTTTGTCCTTGACAGTGTGCCGAACCTTTACACATATTATTTCTTTTAGTATATTTATAAGAACTTTCGAGAGGTAAGTACTATTATTCCTACTTTACAAGAAAGGAAACTGTGTTGTGGAAAAATTGAGTAGTTTGTCCAAGACCTCACACAAAATGTCAAAACCAGATTCTTGATCTAGATCTTTCTCTCAATTGTCTGTACTCCTAACTTTTGTGCCTTAGAAGCAATGACTCTTTGCTAGAATAATGATTATCTTTCTTGGTGGTAATACTGCTGCATCATTCTCATGTTTTTCATCAAATCAGAATTTGTTGGGTTGCTCATGTGATGCCTGTACATTGATATACTGATTTGGTTTTTTTCCTCATTTCAAGCTGGATTTCCCTTAAGAAAATAGCTTTTGGCTTTTTTCTTTTTCTTTAAAAAAAAAACAACTGAGATATAATTCATATATCATAAAATTCACCCTTTTGAAGTATACAACACAGAGGTTTTTAGTATATTCACAGTATTGTGCAACCATTATTACCATTATCAAATTTCAGGACATTTTTATCACCCCACAAAGAAATACTGTACCCATGAGCAATCACACCTCATTCTATCCCCCAGTCCCTGGCAACCATTAACCTACTTTCTTTCCTTATGGACTTTCATATTTTGGCCATTTTATACAAATGAAATCATACAGTATGTGACCTTTTGTGTCTGGCTTCTTTCAGGTCGTATAAAGATTCATCCATGTTATAGATTTATCGACACTTATTCTTTTTATAACTGAATAATATTCCATTATATAGATAAACCACATTTGGTTTATTTATTCGTAAGTTGATGGACATTTGACTTGTTTCCACTTTTTGACTATTATGAATAATGCTGTTATGAACATTTATTTTCAAGTTTTTTTGTGGAAATGTGTTTCCAAATCTCCTGGGTATATATCTAAATGGAATTGTTCAGTCATATGGTAACTCTGTGTTTAACATTTTGAGGAACTGCTAAACTGTTTTCTAAAATGACCGTACCATTTTACATTGCTACCGGCAATGTATGAAGGTTCTAATTTTTCCAACACTTGTTACTTTGCAGTCATCCTAGTGGGTGTCAGGTGGTATCTCATTTTAGATTTGATTTGCATTTCTCTGGTGACTTATGATGTTGAGCATCATTTCATATACTTATTGTTCATTTGTATATTTTCTTTGGAGAAATGACTATTCAGATCCTTTGTGCATTTTTTGATGTAATTTTAACTTAAGTGATCGTGTTTATGAGGAGAAATACAGAGCCCGTCTCCTTTTAATATCTTAGAAGTTTAATTAACAAAGATCACATAGTGCTTTTCTTCCCTCTTGTCACATCCTCATGTCCAATGTTTTAATTTCTTCTTGAGATTGGGCTGTACCGTAGGAAAAAAATCTAGGCCTTCAAGCCTGAAAAGGTCTTGTCTCAAAGACATTAGGGGATAAACAATTATGATCTCTTATGGGTGGACCATAATGGTTATGGTTATAACACTCTCTTCTCGTCACGTAAGTTAATTTGACATTGAATTGGCTTCAGTTTGTAAATAATGCTGTAGTGAAGTATCTTCTCTTCTTCCTTGTTTTTAACTTTTCTGGGCATTTTTAGAAGTTCTTAATTGAATAGAGAAATCTGTTTTCTGAATTGTCCAGATTTTTGCTTTATGGAAATAACTGGAATCTCCCCCTACACCAGATTTAAAGAGAGAACAAATGGAGGATAAAGAGGCAGCAAGTACCATTCCTGACCCCCCAGCCCCCAACACACCCATATTTAGTTGTCTCGAAATTCATGGAACAGAGTAAGAAGCAAGATGTAATGAAGGCACTTTGGGTAGTTGTTCTTATGACTGTAAGACATATTATTTACTTTGTGAGGGATTTTAGTTTCTTCAGATACTAAGGAAGAAAGAGGCACATGAGATAGAAAGCAGTTCTTTCTTTGGGACCATTATAATGTAGATACGCTGAACACTAAGTAGATTTTCTGTTTAACATGTGGATTAGTTTATTTCCATTTCTTATTTCTATTCTGTTATAGATTTTCTTTAAGATTTTATACTTTATAATGATTGTTATTTTCACATGTGCACAATTAGACATATTTTTCACTGCTTGTGATATGAAAAAGTAGGGTACACCTAATTGGTCCTATGTAGAGATGCGGATCAATAAATAGTGATTTAATATATAGAATGCTGTATGGTACTTAGTATAGCAACATGAAGAAGTCTCAAAAAATGATGACTGAAAAGTTGCAGAACAGTGAGTGTGTGTGTGTATATATATATATGGTTATGATATCACTTATGTATGTTTTTTATAAACCACTGAAATGAGTAAGTGGTGTTATGGAAACACACATATATAGTATAAGAGCATGTGTTGGAATACAACACAGGAACTTAAGGGCATTGATTATTGGGGAAGAAGGAAAGGAGAAGCTGATATGTATGACATTTTATTTCTTTAAAGGAGAAGGTAAAGCAAATTTGGTGGAAGTGTTAGTATATGTTTAGTATCACTGGAGGTTATGTGGATATAATATTTTAAGTACTTTTCTATATATTATTTTTTATTTAAAATATTACTTTGTTACCTCTTTTAATTTATATTAGAGTGTCTTAGAAACCAGATTTTTCCTATATTCCAGTTTGGATCATTGAGCTGGATACAGTTATTTCCTTTTTTTTTTTTT